TGTGACAGGGTAGCTCAAGTGGTGGCTTTCAGGCCAGATACAACCCACAGGATTATTCCACTTACTCCTCTGCATTTATCATGAAGGAATCAAAGAAGAGCTGAAAGACAGCTTGGGTAGCCCTGCAACATATCACCTCTTCTTGAACCCAAACTTATGTATATGCTTAGAAATCTGAGCTGCCCCAACACTTAGCCCTTGAGGTCAGTGGTTTATGACCCAGTCCTGACAAGGTTGGACTTCTCTAAACCTTAGTACACTATTTATAGCACAGGTAAGGCACCTAACTGGGCTCTAATAAGGCCTGGTGGTTCCCTGAATTCTCAAGCTACATATATATTAGTGATGTATATATACGCCATTGTGCCCAGGAATAGTTTGTGACAGTGCTGGTTAGACCAGACAACAAAACCCCAGGAATTTTGAAAAAAAAAAAAAAAGCAGCATAAGCCGCCAATACATGCCTGTGCCAAGGTGCTACCTTTATTTATTCATATCAGTATAACTTCTCTGCAGTAAGGTACTCAAAAATGTATTGAAAAGGGAGAAATCTTGAATAAAGCATATATACTACTACCCTGGCTCAAGTAACGCACAGTAGTTGCTGCTAGGAATGTAAAGGTCTACAGAATTGTCTGTTCATAGTGAAATAATATTAAGAAACCCTTCTTCATGCAGCATTGAGTTTTCTGTATTCAGGTCAGATGGACATCTCAGAGAACAGTTGCACAAACATGATTGTACCAGGGGTGTAGAAGAGTCTATGCTTTCTGTGTATCTGGTGAAGTTGTGCAAAACTCAGCAGTTTTCAGGCTCACTGCAGCTCCTTTGAAGATTTCTCCTATTTTATGCTTTGTATGAACTTTGAGTTTGGAGTTTGAGCAAACCCAGCAATTCTGATCCCTTCATGGGGACTATCCTGTACTTCAGGTTGGACACATATTTACAGATCTTGATGAATTGGGACTCAGTGGAAAAACTTCAGAGAGAAGTGTGAGCTTGAAGATTTAAAACAGAGGAAACGGGAAACACTGCTTTGATCTGACCTGTGCCAGCCTGTGAACCCTTGTCTTAATTATTAACATTGAGCAAGTAACATCACGAGCAAGTGGAGCACATAACTCTACACTTATCACCTGTGGGGTAATTTATTCCTAAAGAAAACTCCCTTTTACCCCAAGGTAGTGGAGTCTGGATTCTGCTGTAGGTATCAGATATTACAGCTCTTCCAAAGGTCTTTCATTATCTTAAAATTTATTCTAATAATAGAGATTTGTGTGATTCCTCTGAATTTTTCTGGTCATTAAAAAAAAAAAATCTCTCTTCAACTTTCTAACATCATATGGCATAAACATATACATATATATATATATATAATACCAGCCTTTCATCTTGTGGTTTCTTTGCTGCCTCAGTTATGGTTTTAAAGGCAGAATTTCTGAACCTCTTCTTGTTATATTAAATCTGTCTGAAACTATATGAGATTTCCCAGCATCAAAAATCAGCTCATATTGGATAATTGTTGAAAAACATGCTATATCTATGCTAAAAACATTCACAAAACCTTGTCAGAGATTCCAGTGAAAGACTATGGCTTGTCCTTGCCAAATGTAATATTTTGGCTCCATCCCAATCTACAGATTTATGCAGCATAGAGAGAGAGAGAATTTATTGTGAGAAAGCCCACAGTTCTGGAATAGAGATAGATATGAAGATGAAAATTTCACTATTGAAAAAGCATGTTATAAAATTTGTGATGACTATATGGAATCACTGCTTCAGATTTACATCTCCTCTGCAAGACCTATTTGTAAAGCATCAACAGCTCTTGGGTGTTTTGGTCATAAATAACATTAACGTCATATGTATAGTCAGGATCAGCCACTTATTAAGACAGTTTAATCTTAAACTCTGATTATCGTAGATATCATCCGAGTATTTGACAATGACTAGAGTATCAAATCCATCTCTGGCTTACAGTTGGAAAGCTCTTTATAGATATAGATGCATGATAATTGTATTCATTTCACTGTAATGAATAAGGACAACCTATTCTTTGGGAAATCTGGTCTTAGGTGGGACCTATGATCAGGGTTGTGGAGGCCACTGTACTTTGAATATTTGAATTCTTAGTGTTAGGCATGTGCTTTATGCTAGGCAGTTGCTTTCAACATCTTTTTATGAAATAATTTCCAGCCGATGTATAATGACAAGTAGCTATTTGTGCTTGCGACCAGTAGGAGGCTGTGCTATGCCTCAAACACCATTGAGCATATTGCTCCTGGGTTACAAGGACTTTCTCTGTGTGTTGGGATACGAATAATTTCTTCCTCTTCTCTCATCCTCAACTGATCAGGTGCAAATTTCCTGTCACAGAGATTGGTTCAGTCTGAGGATCTTCCCTCAGAGAAAGCCAGAGAAGTCAAATGATCAGTCAGAAGCAGTCTGTGTTGAAAACTTGACTCAGAAAATATTTAATGCTCCTGGAAAAAATGGTGAGTTACTTTCTTGCATCTTCTCTTGCATCTGAGAGAGACTTAAGTGCCTTCTGTGATTGTCAATCTCAAGAAGGCAAGAAGTGGTAGGAGTGGTTCAGATGACCTAGCTGTGAAGGCTGCCAGATTTAGGGGATGAGAATAACAATTTTTTTGCCTACACTAGATTTAGCTGTTTACAATGTAAGTGTCTACTGTGTACTGATTGGCTAAGCTCTCATTCAGCTGGAGATCTAGACCAGGCTGTTCAGTCGATGGAGTTTAGAGAGAAATTCAGGTCACACTCATGTAGATGTCTATGTTAGGCCTGCTTAATTGTAATGCAGATTTCACAGGCTATACAGATGAGATCCCTAGAGATTAGGGCAGAAGTTACACACCTGGCTGAGATGGAGGCACCTACATGTAGATGGGTAGAATTAGAAGTCTGGGTCAGAAGCTGGATCTGACCTCAACATCTCTGCAATAGATGGAAAAGGAATATGGTCTCAGCTCAGCCTCTGGGCCAGCAGTACTCATCATTCCCCAAGCACAGACATCAGACAAGGCTTCTGATTTAAGCCCAGGGAAGCATCTGTGTAGGATCAAGACCTGTGCTCTTCTAGGTGCCCATCTTCAGTCCAACACTTATTGCCTACAGCAGGCATGAAAGAAAGCACTGAATGATCCAGGAGCTGCCTACAGAAGCTTTATACTCCAATCTACTGAAGTGAAGCAGAGAAAGAAGGATGGGAGCTGTACTAGTTGACAGCTTTTGTAGCTGAAGCCTTCAGCATTTCATCCTGACTGCTATTTCTTCTTTAAACTCAGGATTCCTTGGGGATTAGCTACCTTGTGTCACATTTACTTTGTGTGCATGTAATGGGGATTTATCTATTTTTCCACAAGCCTAGGTAGCCCATTAAAATGCCTCTATGAGCATCCTGAATAAATAAGTACGTCTTCCTTCGTGTACACATGTAGGTAGGCATTTTGGAATGTGCGTGTGTATATAAGGGAAAGTATACATTGATGTAGGCGGGGTGTGTGTGTGCACATCACTGCATGAGAATAGAAGAGAGGTTGTCTAGATGTGCTTGTATTTTCATAGGATGCACACAGGTATATATAAGCATAAACAGGAATGTGTGCATTTGTGGACCAGGCATTATCCTTGCCTCTCCCCACCCCTCAACAGATAGATGGAAGAGGTGGAATGGTGGGTATTTTGGGTTCTGTTCAAAGTCAAAGGGACTAAACATTAAGTACCACACCACCATCTGGCTGGTAGATGCTTCATGCTCTATCAGTATCTTAATAACTAAAAGATATTGGGGCACAAAAGTTGTCTGTCCAGCCAGTAAATGAAGAGTGGCTCAGCTGGCTCTGCTAAAGAATATGCAACATCACTCTGAGGCTTTATAGGCCTAACAAGCCTGCTTGGTCTGTAGCCAACTCTGAAATAGTTTTTTACATGTTGATTTTTTCAGGTAGCAGCTAATGGCTACAGAAAAATAAAAATCTGTAGTCTCAGCTACTAAAGTATTCCCCTCTGTGGTCTGAGCAAAGATAGGAGCATCTCTAGGATGTTTCCTCACACTTATCTTTGATAAATATCTTAGATGGTCCCACTGTTTCAAAATGGCCTCTGGAAGTTCCCATCTCAGTCTTGACTGTATCTAGCACATAGCCCAAAGCAAAAACGTGAAATTGCACAACGAGTCTTAGGCTAATGAATCTTTCTGATCCCAAACTGTCTATACACTTTTATCTATAACTTGGATAAAATTCTGGTGAAGTTTGGACTTGGCGTGCATGTACTATGGGTTCTTGTATTCATAACAGCTTCTTAGGCTGTCTATACCAGTAAATTAAATATTACTAGGGCATGGGCCCAGGATTTGATTATAAATATATTAGAAGACCCTGGCTTTTTGGTCTGAGCCAGCTTGCATTCTCCCAGACCTTTCCAGGGTGTTGTTCAGGAATGACTGCAGTGAGACTGTTCCAGTAGGCAGTCTGCTTTGAGACCAGTCTGTTTTGGAGACCAAAGAGTTAATAGCATGGTCATGGTAAGCTGATGTCAAATGGTCTCAGTAGCAGAGAGGAGTCTCTAGAGCTATTTAGTTAATTGGTAAGGATGCAGCCTAACTGTTCCTTCATTTATTGCTACTTTGATATTGTCATTTTGGCTCTGAACTTGAGTTTCTACATTTCTGGACCATCCATTTCATTGGTTGGCTTGTGATTTGGCTCACATCCAGAGCACGGCAACTTTCTGGCCAGATGAGAAGATCTGGCCAGCAGATATAGAAAATTACTTACTCTAACCGTGGTCCTAGAAGCAGGGTGAATGCAGCTAGCCTGAACTACAGGGCAAACATGCACTTTTAATAGGCATAGATAACAGAGGGATTATGGACATTATAGTCTTCTAGGTAAGCGACCAAATGCCATTATAAGATCATATGTAGTCTTTGTCAAAATTATGTACATTAGTTAATTGTTCCTCTTTCAAAATCATACCTGAAATGTGTTAAATGTCTCTGGATGTCGAGGTCTAATATTGGAGTCGGTCTGGAGGATCCGAGGGGTGATCTGTCTTGACTTAGAAGGTCTTGGAATTCTTTACATATTTGTCTAAAAGGAAAGTGGAAATTGTTACATAAGAAAGGTGTAATCCTTTCCATAAAGCTGATTCCCATAACACTGTCACCTTATCCTGAGTGATCTCATTCATAACAGAAATGTTTGGCAGAGGCATTGCTAAAGAAATTAAAGGCAAATGAATCCCCCTATTGCGTCCCTGCCCCAAATTCTTAGAGCCAGCAACATACAGAATCTCTTGAACAGGAATAGTTCCCCTCTGGAACCGTATTAACATTGACATTTTAAAATGTAATTTCTCTCCTGAATTGGACCCAGTTTGGCAGTGTTAAGTCTGGCTTAGCTCACCTAACCATGGTTATGGTTAAAGAAAATGATGAACTAGCTTTAGAACGTGTCTGAAGACTTTGTGTAAATACACCACCACTTGTACATTTGCTTGTGTGCACTGGTTTATCTGCAAGTAGAAGTCCTGGCCATTTTGGCCTTGCCTTCTTGACCTCTAATTCCTAAAACAAATGGAACATGAGAAGTTGTGAAGGAAAATGCTACCTTTGCTCTCCTAGTTTCCATTTGTGTCCATACTCTGCTTTCTTGTAGAATCTGGGGCAGAAGAACTGATGGATCCTCAAGTGAGACCTCTCCCACAGGTCTGCCCAGAGTGAGAATTCATTCCCGCAACAGTATGTAAATTTCTTATTGAAACATTTGTTAAATTGTTTTACATTTCTACCATAAATCAGGCAGCCTAAAGTAGCAGAGGACTTGCATCCTAACAGTGCCTCTTTCTCTCCAGTGAGTGTAGGAGGAGCTCAGTGACTCACTCAGCTGTCAGTGCCTACACAACAGACAGGCAAGTGAGGCAAATCTCATCATCTCCACTTTTTCTTGATGATGGTTTCCTGGGCAACACACACATTTAGTTGGTAGGACCTGGGACCCCAGCTCGACACCTTGCAATGGGAACTCAAGACTCTGTCTTGTCTGGCCTCCTACCAGCATAGTAGCCCAACTTCTTTGGCAAGGAAGGATGGTCTTGCTGTCTTCCCTCTCCCTCACAAGCCTTCCCTCAGCCTTCTCAGGATGCCTCAGAACCTGGAGGTTAAAAACATTCCCCGGGATACCTCTATTTAGGACCAAACACTAGGAGAAACCTGAAAATAAGGCCTTTTCATTCTTATGATGTTGTATTGGGACAGTTTGCAAATTAGTCTTGGAATATTCTACCAATGCATTTTTAAAAAAAGGAAACAAACCAGCTCCATTTAGTGCATGCCCTCAGGAGAATACTATCTGGACCAAGGATGGATAAAGACATAACTTATTTTCATTGGTTTATTATACAGTTAATTAAAATAGGAGAGGTGTCTGGATCTCTTTCTCAGGACTTTTACAAATAAGCATACCATTCTCCATTGACTGTACTGGAAATTTGGCACTTAATGTGGGGTCAGGACTTCATGATGCCCACTAGATCATGAGGACACTTGGGTTGCCTGATACTAGTCTGACACTCAGTTGGATTGACCCAATACTGGTCATAGTGACTACGTGTAACCTAGTAAGCAGTGTCACCTAGTAAAGTGAGCAGTGCCAGGGGTCTTTCTCATATCCTTGTGCAAATTATCACCCTCTGATAAGGTCTGTATAGTTATGCTCTTCTAGCTGCCTAAACAGGATGTCTTCCTAATGACCCTGGTGTGGACTGTCTCTCAGAACATGCCCAGTAGATATTCGGGAGAGTTCAAGGAGCCATTCTAACATTTTAATAATATGGACAATCGCAATATGATGACTCAGTGTGTGCATGGTTTCCTTTATTAGCACAGATGCAATCACTGTGCCTAGGGCCAGTTTCTCATACTAAAGAGCATCTCTGTGGTCTACGATTTCTCTTATAAGACTCTTTGCACATCTGGTCCTAGATAAAGTTCAAGTTCTTCATTATCACCTTGTGTAACTGTTGTCCTTAGGGACAGGGACATAATGGAAAATCACTGGGCAAACTCAGCTTCTTGGTCTTTAGAAGGTCTTCCATTGCCCAGTTACAAGCAAGGAAACTATATTAACCTGGTTTTACCCTTCATTAGATCACTGTTGTTCTGCAAGTTTTGGACATAGACTTTGGATACCACAGCTCTCTCCTGACTAAGAGGAGAGGAGATGCAGAAAACTATTTCCTGCTGTGCTGCTGGACTTCATCCAAGCCTGAGGTCTGTAAACGCTTGTCATCTGTATGGACCTAGACTGCTTGAAAAGACAGCATTGTGTTAGTCTTTCAGGCAAAGAGAGGTATTCAGCAGAAATGTATGTAAATGCAGCATACAGTTTTAATGAATCAGGTCCTTAGAGGAAAAACAGTTCCTTTCAACAACTGAAAACAGTCAGTCATTTTGGCTTCTAAACAATCTACTATCCCCAGCTGGCCTGTCAGCACCGCTCTCCTGTCCTTCCTCCAACCTCTACTTTCTACCTGTTGAAAAAGTTCATCTTAAAAGTTTTTCTATTTTGACAAAGGAAAGTGTCAGAACCAAGTGTGCAATTAAGTTCCCTTCTATCTTCACGTGTCAAAAGTCTTTACTGACTGTTGGCAGATTGAAAGAAAAGAAAAAACTTTTTTATTATACATGAAAACCTGTAAAAGGCAGTAACCTACTTTTTTCAAGGGGATTTCTAGGCAAAGTGGTGTCTCAGAGCCTCCACTACCAACAAAACATCACCTGGGGTAGTGACAGGGAGAGGGCCTGGCAGTTATTTGCTGAGTTGGACTGTGAATTTGAAAAAGCAAAGAAAGATGGTTATGCTGTTTTAAGGGCCACAGATTAATAACAAAAAGAATCCTGGTCACTCCTGCAATGGAGACATCTAAAGATTTGTGACATATGGTCAGATATTCCAGTATATGATCAAGAAAAGATAAAAAATTCTGTACTGGATCTGAAAAATAGCCCATCTAGTCCGTGATCCTACCTCTAACAGTGGCAAAATCAACTGCCTTGTGATGAGTACAAGAGTGGGGCAAGTGCGTGCCCATAAGTCTGATATATTCCAAGTGTGGCAGAGTTGCCAAGCATCCAAAGATCAAATATCAGTGAGGTGCTCAGCAGGTCCTGTGTGTCCAGTCTCAGAGATACTTTTCATAAAACTAGCAAATTGAGCACATAGTGTCATGAGCCAAATGTTGATTTTTCTGTGCTGGCTGTAAGCAACCCCACAATAAAATCATTATTCACAGTATTCTGTTTTGATCCATGTAAACGTGTGTGTATCTGTCCCTCTGTCTCATGTGGAAAGCCTTGTGCTGTGTTACTCTGATATTTCCCAGAAGACAGCATATCTCTCCTTCAAGTGGAATTGTTACACGGCCTTCAACAGTTCTGCGTCTGTCCTAGCTGCAGCCTGATGAGGTTCTGTCCCCTCTTGTAAAGCCATTCAGGGTGTCCCACACCTCTGCAAGGTGAACTAATGTGTGCTTAAAGACTCTCTAAAACCAGGTCCCAGGTTTTTTTTTTTTGTTTGTTTGGTTTTTTTTCCTTTCATTTCTGTGTGGATTGCATAAACATGTCCTGAAGTCTTTCTGAAGAGTCTAGGGTTAACAGGCCAGTATCAGCACCCTTTGGCCAGAACTATGATAATTCAGTCTATTTTTGTTTGTTTGTTTTTTGAAGCATCTTGCTCTGGAGTGCCCAGACAACCACCTACTCAGTCAAAGGAGGTGAGTTCAGTGTAAAAGAATTGTAGAAGACTGCCTTCTCCTATTGCTTATGCTTTTCTTATCCTTTCAGCTCTTAACCAAAGTTTGGTTCAGTCCCATTCTGCCCTTGCTGTCACTTCTGATCAGTGCTGTATACTTGCTACACAGCCCAATCATCTCTTTGTCCCATGGTAATCATCTGGTAAGGCTCTGATTCTTCATTGTCTAGATCATAAAATTGTTAGAACAGGCCATGGCACCATCTTATTGCATCAAACCTTATTGCCCTAGGCAGACCTTGAGTTTGCAAATGTGAGGGACCATTTCCAAGAGGTCGTTCTGGAAGATCAAGTAGTTTATCACAACATTTTGGGGCATGGTTTGTTCCATGCCAGAAAGTGGTCCTGATTTCATCCACTGTACTATCAACATAGCCTCAGATCAGGTAGGGTGGAGCAGGGCAGTGAAGAGAGTGTTACCTCAAGCTTAGTGACCTCCAGAGGGCTATTGGCATCTAAAGTAGCAGTCTTTAGCCTTCACTAGTTACAGTGAAGTGCTAGTACTAGTTACTAACCACAGTTCTGTGCATGGCAGATGAACTGCTTCCACACAGGGTGAGTGGATTGCTCGATTACAAGGTACACATGCCCTTGATAACACTGGGAGCTTCTACTGGACACCAGACACTTCTGCATTTTAGACGTTAAGGGGTCTATTTAGTTACCCACACATAGATATGTAGTACCCAAGACATCCATAATAACTGGCAGATACAACACAGTAACAGAGACCCGTGTGTTTCTGGAGCAGCAGCTGGTAACCAAGCTAGATAACCCAGTTCATCCCAAATGGCAGTAGGTGCCTATGTTTGGGCAACTGAATCAGGCCACTGAAGTTGGATGTCTGAACCCACAATGAAGTTTCATCTATGTACTAGGAATTGTGGAAATAATTTTGGTCTTTCCCCTTATTTTTCCTCAAGACCCCACATGTAGAGGATCTCACCAGGTGTGCCTTTGGCGGTGGTAACATACACCGGCAATGGCAATCCATTTCTTTCCATAGACAAAGCTTGCAATGAGTGATTTTACCACCCTGGAGTGTCAGTGTCATTTTTGGTGGCAGCATAGCAATCCGCCACTTTTTTGGTGTCATAACTCACAAGCTCATGAGGCAGGGCAGTTGTGAACTTACTGAAATTAAAACCCTAGAGCTTATATATGCCTCGTGAATAATCAAAACTCCTGACAGATGACTTGAGTACTTGCTATCAGACACATGGAAGCATGGCTGGGTGATACTATGCTAGTATCTCGGTGTCATCGACCTATTGTCTCCCGTAGCATCTGGACAGGGCTGGCCTGTGAATCACTGTTCTCCTTCCAGGCAGGAGAGGGCAGTAGTAGCACACACATTGACCCATCTGTCCCTGTTAGAAGCACTCTGACTGCAGTAGCATGTGGCCTATCCTTGTCTTATCGACAGACCTCTCTCATCAATTTGCTGGTGCTTTTAACTGATGGAAGGCGTGGGGGAAGACATTACGTTCCTTACAAGTGCTGAATTACAGCCTACGAGCCTAAAGTTCACGGAGGTTAGAAGTAATGCATGTTAACGACTGCCCACCTCAGTAGTAAAGGGCAGTGAGAAAGTAGGTATGGAGTGGTGAGAAAGGGTGGTGAGAGTCTTACGTGTCCCTCAGTGGGACAGCCTTTGGAGGCAGGACATAACAGTTAGCCACTGATTATTACAACCCATAATAATGTGATCTCTCACTGGAGCCATAAAAGAAGGGGGAAGATTTGTATAATTATGGTTGAATAACATTTTATAGAGGGGGCAAATCCTCCAGCCAGGGCAACTTCACTCTTGTTTAGGTTGTGCTGCTCAACAGTACAATCAGCTTCTCCATAGTTAGGGGTCCACATTGTTAATGGGCTCTACAGCAATGGGGAGACACAACTTGCAGAGAGGAGCTGCTTCTTGCCAGCTGGTTTATTCCCATGTCTCTGAAACATCTTGGGCCCTTAAAACAAGTGTGGATGTAGCTAATAAGATCGTATTCCACTTATATTATTACTGTTAGCCTACAAGGGACTTAGGAGCATGATGAGTGAGGTCTCTCATCACCTTCACAACTGGCAAATGCCCCCTGAGCCGCATGGTACTCTGCTTAGCTCCCCAGGGAAGAACCACAGGCTGTATTCACGGGATACACAAGCCTGAGATGTTTCAATGCATGTCGTCTGTGAGTCACCTTCAGGGCGAAGAGCTCTGGACACAAGAGGGACACCAAGGCCAGGAATCCTGTTCCCCACAAATAGACAAAGCAGAAGGATGTTGGGATACAAAGGACAATCCTGTTGCTGGTCAGCCTTCTCCCCTACTACGGGGTGATTCCTCTCTGTTGGACATATCCCAGCCTGGATGATTCCCAAACATTTCCACCACTGGGGTGGTGGTTTGAGAGCTTGGGATTTTGTCCTCAGTTCTTCTGCAGCCTCACTAGGTAACACTGCAGTAAGAAAATGAGTATGTTCAAGGCTACCCCATGCAGGGATACCACACACCTAGTGTAGGTCTATGTTGCTCCACGCAGACTATTTATTCCTGTTTCCCATGGCTCATGAAGGCTAATTCCTCCCTCATCAAGGCTAATTAACCTAGATGAAATGTTATCTTAACATGATGTTACTGCTTCAGGGAGGTGAGTGGCTTGTTCAGAGCAAAGTCAAGTGCCTCTGTGTGTCTTTAATGACTTTAGCAAAGCTCCTCTGTGGGTGTACATTGTTCCAGCGCCTTTGACGTCAGGGGAACTCTTGCAATTTCCATCCAGAGAGGATCTGTCCCTCTGCAAACCAATTCTCCCTCAGCAGACTACCGATAATTATCCCACAGTAACTAGTACTTCAGCATAAGCTTAGATCTCCTGCTCATACGCAAACAGGAGACAAAGCCAATCTCTGTCCCATAGATCTTACCATGTAATAATATCCCCTCCTCTCATCTAAACCAATGCATCTGAGAAGATGTACGTGCCTCCTTAACCACAGGCAATGAGAGCATAGCCACTAAAACCTCGTTGCAGTAAATAAGATTCCTCTTACAGCATCTCTAACGAGGATTGCTCTCACTTGCTGTCAGTGAGTACTGTTATACTAGCAGTCACTGCAATCCCAGCTCCATACTCCCACTCCTCCCTCCCCCAGCCCCCAGATCCAAAATGGAGAAGTGACAGACAGATTTCTTTTTTAGCTTCCTCTCCCTTCTTACTTTGTCGCTAGGATCATCTTTTTCCTCGCTGTCTGCTCTTTCTGTTCCATGTGCTGTCTGGCAATGTGCTCTCCTACCGCCTTGGCAGGGAACTCTGTTTCGCAGGTGTAGCCGAAATCTCTGGCCAAATGTAAGGCTTCCCCTGTGGGCAAACAAAATGGGTCAGTTAGTTTTTAGGGTTACTATTATCATTATTACAGAATTTCTTCCACTCAGAAAAACCCTCCAAATCCCCCCAAAAACCCATAACAAATGACTTTTGTAGATATGAATTCCCAATCTCAGTAACAGATTTCAGCCCATTTGGCCTGCTCATGCTTAGTCATCAGATGGTGCCAGTCAGAAGATAGGCAGGTCATGCCTCTCATGAGAAAATACTAGTCAAGACACCTGGGTTTAGCTCCCTCCCCTGCCACCAGTGAGTCCTGGGCAGCCGCTCAAGTTTTGTAAACCCAGTTCATGATTGATATTTAAAGCATGGAAATTAGTGGAAGGTAGGAATAAACCACTCTGAAGAGCTGAGCTTAGGGGTTAAGCCAGCAGGCACAATACAAGTGCCCCACACTAAAGATGAGTAAAGCATGAGAAATAATCCTTTTCCAAAGAGATTGCAATCAAAATTGACCAGACAAAATAAAAAGAGATGACAATAAAGATCCCAGTTGCTGTTTTATAGGTGGGGAAATCAAGGCAAAGGGACTACATGGCTTGACCTCGGCTTTATGAGAAGTCTGTGACAGAGGCAGGCACTGAGCACCTCTCTACCTCACTACAGAGACTGAACACCATACCTCAGCTCCGTGCTGGGTGCCAAATACCTGTGGAAGAACCTGTCCATCTCCACTAGCTTAGAGAATCCAGGAATTTATTTTAGGGTTTACTGATCACTCTGACCTGCGTGCTGTGACTCTGAAAACCTTGGCATGGGATTTATCTGATCAAACACAGCTGCCTGGAGTGTGAACATCTGTGCCTAAGTTTGTCTTTCCCTGGTGGGAAATAGGCACTTCCAGATGACACATGCTCTCATCTCATCGTAGAAGGTAGAAATAGGTCAGCTACCAGAAGTGTATGTTGAAGCACATCTGCATGAGTGACCGAGAGATGTGCTCAGGAATAGTTTTGGGGTTAGGGTGTTGTGGGTATTTTATTTTATTTTATTTTGCTTCTTTTCAGAGTTGTGTATTTGATTGCCACCATGAGAGGTGGCATTGAACTCTGGCTCTTTGGAAACCAAGATGATGCTCCTGGTGAACAGTTAGGAAGGATGCAGGACCTGTAACACTTCCCTTTGAGAAGATGTGAAGTGGAATTCCACTGATTAAATGTCAGTATTGACATCTTACCTGGTACTTTCAAGTCAATGGAGACAAGCTAGCACTTGGAGCATGTGTCATCCCATACTAAAGCAGACGGTAAAAGTGGATCAGAGGAATTATAGAAAAGTCCAGGTTAGAAGGAAGCTCAGGAGCTCACCTTCTGTTGAAAGTATGGCCTTGGATTAGGTTATTCTTGGAATTTTCAGGCCTAATCTTGAATATTTCCAACCATGGAGTTTCCACAGCTTTTCTGAGCAACCTAATCAAATGTTTAATTATTAGTTTAATTTAGTTGTTAATCACCCAGAAGTGCTGATCTCTCCCTACTGACTACACTGAGACGTGAGAGGACAGATACAACAACAACAGAGATGATGACACGACTCCCATCCCCAGCAAGGCTGAGCCTGCTCTGCACAAACGTGGCTAAGCCAAGGAAGATGGAAACTTCCATGGGAGCAGTGGTCCTGTGCCAGGGGCAGCATGAGGCATAAGGAATCACATTCACTGACCTCTGTTGCAGACTCTGTTCTCCACCTTTTCAGGGTTTATTGTCTCGCCTGGAATCACTGGAGTTTTTACCAGAAAAAGATATTTGTTTCCGCAAGCAAGTACTTTGTTGTGTGTTTATCTGACCTAACTGGATTCAGGTACTAGTAAAATACATGCACTATTCCCAGGGCATTTGTTTGCTGACACCAGTCAATAACAACCTTTGTCGCTGTAACCAATTTTACATGCAAAAATCAGAGATTATACTCAAAATCTGCATTTGGATTTTTTTTACATGATTTCCAGTATACCTAAAAAGAATAAGAAGCTAACAAGCAACCACTAGCTCTGGGTTGAAAGGAGAAATGGTTTCCGCTTAATTTACAGCTTCTGGAAAGGTAAAATAATTTTCAGTGAAGTTAAAATGGATTTTAGTGGTACGTTAACAGTGAGTCAGAATGAACAGGTATATAGCTGACTGCCAGTTTTGTATTTAAAATGTCTATCCCAGACTTTATGGATGAAAAGGTACAAATTTAAACTACAGCTGCTAAATTTCTGTGGAGTTGCTTCAACAATTCTATTTCAGTTACAATTTTACTCTTGCTTAAATAAAGACTTAAAGAGTAAGTCAACTGCAGAAGAGTACAAGGTTTTGCTTTTCAAACAAACTCCATTAAAGTACTTGATAGGTTTGTTTTCATGCCAGCGTGGAAAGAAGATAAAAGTCAAAATCATTGAAGCTGTCATCAGGTGGAATTACCATTCTCCAGACAGATCTGTCCTAGCCCCAGTCAGACCCAAGTAACAGTGCAAGGAACTACGTAGCAAAGCATTTAAGCGTTTAGACATTGGAAAAATCTTGGTTTCTTCAAAAGAACAAAACTTTCTGTGATGAAATGTAGGCATTTATTTAACATGGTCAATAACAAACTGACTGAAATTTGTATGTTTTCACTTAATGTCAAAAAGAAAAGGAATGAAAATATGAATTATCATTAAAACTTATCTTTCCAAAGATGGTGTATATAATTTACTAGAGCTGAGAAAATTATACTAAACTGTTTTAATGATCTGAGAAAATTATATAAAAGTATAAAACTTGTCCATTTTACATGGAGCTGGGAATGTGATTGAATGCTAATGGTATATGAAGAGATAAAGTCATAGAATCATAGAATTTTTTAGGCTGGAAAAGATCTTTAAGATCATGAAGTCCAACCATTAACTTAGCACTGCCAAGTCCACCACATCTACATGTAATCATAATCAAAATGAAGCAAAATGACTTATCTGCTTGTGGATATATGTAGGTAAAACTGTATATACAGATGTACCTATTGTGAAAAAATAAATCTACACATTTTTAAGATGTATTTTTAAAATATATTTTTACTGGAAATGGAAAGCTGATACATATTAGGAATGCATATTATAACTATGCATATGTATTCATATAAGCATGCACTTCCACATGATATAAGGAATAGGCATTCTATATTACAGCATCAAATTCTAAATAAAAATAGAAAACTGGACAAGAAAATGCTCTGCAGAACATGATTTCTTGTATCTCATTGTTGAGCAGAGATCTTGTTTTGAACTGGGACCAAATGATGAGGTATTTGTAAGTGGATTTTGTTATACTTCTATACATATTTTTTGTTAATCTCAGTGAATAGAGGTCCCCTGTATTACTGCACGGTAGGAAATAAGTCTGCTTTGTGAGGGAAAGTGGTTTGTATAAAATGTCATAAAAGATGTTCTTTCTTTTTCTACACCATAATTTGGGCAAACATTTATTCTAGGGGAAAATATGGAAATGTTGGAAATGTGGATGAACTGACCTCTTTCACCTTACATTTGCCTTCTTCTGGCTAGTTATTATTTATGTCAGGGAGGAGTCATACTAAAGGTAGAGACCCCTAAAATCCCTGGCTTTTATAGCCAGTTGCCTTGTTTCAATCTAAAATCAAATTTCCCTACGTGCAATATCCCCAGCTCTTTCCTCTGGCAGACAAAGAATTGGTGCTGGGGATCGTTGACTCTTTCCCCTTCAATCCAGCCCACGGCTTTGCAGCTATAGGCAGCGCTGCCTTTCCTATATAATTTGACAATTGACCAGAGAGCTTTGCATGATGGAAGAGGACAGTTGCTGAAGCTGAATTGGCAGAGACAGCTCTAGAAATCCTCAGTGGAGAGGCCAGCCTGCGTACCTTGACAGGCTTCTGTGGGCAGGTGCAAGGAGCAGCGTGGGTGTCTCATGGGTCTAGCAAGAGTGAGTGATGCTCCTATGCAGAGTGAAGGCAGAAGCTGTGTCCCAGGAGAGGGACACTCAGCATCTGAACCTCCTACTCTCTCCTCGGCTTCGCCTCCTCTGGATGATCTACCCAGCAGAAACGCTGTCCAGGGGGAGGAGGGACAGGCGGGAGGTGGAAGGAAAGGGTTTTTTTCCATTTGTAGGGTGAGAAGGGAGGAGGAACAAGTGGAAGGATATTTAAACAAACGCTGGTGGGGGAGAAGCGTGACAGTTGATAGCAGGGTGAAAAAAGTAACCACTGACCTATTTTTCTCAAAAATTTTGGTCCCCAAATGATGAATGCAGTCAATTCTATGTCTAGTAAATTTAGTGGCTTAGTTAGGTTTGACAGGGAAGCAAAGTCCAGATTTTTTGTAAGTGCTTTTTCTGATTTTCATAAATAATCTGATGGTTTAAAATTAATTCATTAATTGCTTTTACCTACATCTGCAATAACATTTACACTATGTCTCTGCCTTGTAAGTGACCTGTCCAAACAGATATAGACACCTCCCCCTCTTCTCACATCCTTTCTTGCTCTTTTAGGAGAGGCTTTTGACTCGGTTGAGCCAGCAGTACGGCTTAGCCTTGGCAATACTGATATTTAATGGAGGATCCTTTACTGTATTGTCTAGGATGTAGGAATTTTTTTTTCTTTTAGAGCTGAGAAACAAGTGACCTTTCCTTTCGTCTAATCTAGGCACTAGAGGGCATCCCTCACCTATAGGTTGCACAAAGATACATCCCATACTGCTGTGGAGAGGCTTGAAATGCTGAACTCATTCTCCCAGTCTGTCTTTCCACCCATTGTGCTGATTTATGCGGATGACAACGTAAAGAACAGAACTGATCTGTCAAACAAGTCCTACTTTGGGCCCTAGAGGTCCCTACCAAAGACACTCAAGGTGCAACCCAACCAAAACAAGAATAACAGTAAACACCCAGTAGTCATGCTGAACCCCAAAAGAAGTAAGTTTGCAGAAAAATAAGGAGCCACAGAATATTTTTCATAAAGTCTGGATCTTCACATGACCACCACAGCCTACAAATTCACTGCAGTTCTTCAGTTGAACTTAGCAGTACTCCCCAAAACTCAAAGATTTTAGTCTATTTAGAGAAAGAGAAGTCTTAGTCATGCCAGAGACTTTCAAGATGGCTTTGGTCAATATGCCTTAATCACCATACAACTAATTTTGCCTTTTCAGGAGGTTGAGCACATTCCTACCTTACAGAGATATTAGAAGACTGTGAGGACTTTCAGTAACAATAAACTTAGAAACACCTAAAGTAATCATGAGTGACACAATCCCAGGTCCTTATGAGAAGTCCACGCAGTGCACCTGATATTTAGGGATTTAATAAGACTAATAAATCATTATGTCGATTTGTATATTGACACCACACACGAAAAAGCCAATACTGCTTTCTTCATGTTTTCTTCTCTAAAACCTGGAATAAGCTTGTGTCTTTCCATTTCTGCCTCCTCCAGCAGCAGGAGCCATGGAGGGATGGGTTTCCTTGCAGTAACCATGCTACAAGTTGGAAGTAATATCTGCCTGTACAAAGGGAGGACAGCTTACACCACAAAGAATGCAATGAGCACTGCCAAGTTTCACCAAGGATTGGTTACGTAGACAGAAAATGAGCTTAATTTTGTTCTCTGTTGTCATGTTAATGCACATGGTGGTGCCTTTCCTAAAAATTCCAGTAGACAAAATTCATCGTTGGAATATCTAGGCAAACAGGTCTCTGTCAAAGTGAGGTCACTCTCCTCAGTAACTCACACTAAGGCAGTCCAAGAACAAAAGCAATACCATAGGCTTGATAATAGGTTTGCTGTTGGCTTTGAGGAAAGGGCAGGGAGGCAAGCACAGCTCCATCCCTGGCAAAAAGGAGTCAAATTCTGACTTACAGTAAAGGTACTTTACAGTCAATCCCAGGCCAGCAGTTGAAAGAGGACTTCCTCACTCTCAGTCTCTTCTAATAAATGAGTAGCTGACCATATAGCTCTGTTTATTCTTCCCTGCTAAGACCCAAGAGGCATAAAGGACTGAGAATAGGAACAGCCCTTACCCCTCTAGACTAGGGGAGAAAGCTCCCTTTTCTAAGGCTGTAACTCCATTATGGCTTTCTCTTTATTACAAGCAGGTGTGATACGGACACATTTGTATTTCAGAGCAGCCCCGTTGTAGTTCTGTGTGCTCAGTGGCCCCTGAGAACCTTAGGCCGTCCACTTAGGTGGTGAAAAACATTAATTGTTCTGGACTCAGCACTATTTCTCCATCCTTTGAGATATTAAAAACCTGACTAGACAAAGTCCTGAGCAACCTCTTTTAATTGACTCTGCTTTGAGCAGGAGGGTTGGACTAGAAAATCACCAGAGGTCTCTTCCAGCTTCAACCTTTCTATAATTCTGTGATTCTGTGGTAATATGTGCTGAGACCTCAGCCTACTTGCCTAGATCTGTACGGACCTTTGAGGTTATGATCCTAGAAGGTGTTGACCTTTAGGATGAGCTGAGTGCTCTCAACATCAAGGAGGAGGGATCTGAAATTCCCAGAGCTGCTACTTGCAGCCAGACAACAAACCAAGTACTTAGTGGATTCACCCAGAATAGAAGAGATTCAGGTTGAGTTTCTTCCCTTTGCCTGAGGGGTTTGAACCTGCATCTCCCAGCTGAAGGTTTGAAGAGCCTGGCAGTATTTGGTGAATGATATTTAAACAATAAATAAAGGCCAAGAAAGTATCTCACGGGCCTGCCTAGAGTTTATCTGAAGACAGATTTAATTTATTTATGTGTGTGTGGGAAAAGTCTTGTCTAAATATTATGTCTTCTCATGGGGGGGAAAAAAAAAAATCACATTTTTGGATCAGGTCCAGGAAATTCACAAGTTAAAAAAAAAAGAGGATAAACAAACCTACTTATAGAGTTGATATAAGACATTCATCTCTCTCACAAGAACACTTGGATCATTGATTTGTAAGTCAGATCCCAGCACAGAAAGCACAGATCAATACTGAGGAAACTGCAGGACCAAAACACTTGCTGGGAGCCAAGACATCTCAGAGTGAACTTCCATTTTGCCACTCATTCTGTCTGTGGCTTTAGGCAAGACAGTTCTCCTCTTTGTACAAAACACAGATTATGATATTTAACACTGCGGCTGAAAAGTGTTATATACAAAGAAACATTCTAATTATGTTTATATTATGTTGCAATATTATAAACCCTACCTTCTACCAAGGAAGTCAAGAGTGTGACATTTGCTGCTTTTCTTCTTCCTGCAGGCAAATTCAGTCCCAGTCTGTCTAATTTTTCTCGCAAGCAGCGTCCTCCATTCTTGGATTTTGCTCTGTCATGAGACAACAGTAGGAAAGAGAAACTTGTCTTTATTCTGCACGGTTTTTCCCATGTTAATATAAGTTTAGAAGTTGTACACATCTTATCGACAAATGTATGAGGTAATGCCTGCACTAATGACATCAATGGAAAATCTTTCAGACCTATATTCCTAATGTCCTGCTCGCACCGTACGAGTCTCACATTGGTCCTTTGACAAAGTTAGACATTTTAATGCCTGTCACAGGGGCATCAGATCTTCAGACAGCTTTCCACCTGGTGGAACCCACAGTCCTGAGTTGGGCACAGAGCCTGGAATTGCAATGACTGAGTATAAATATTGACAGTACAGTTGCTTAGATCTGATTTAGCCACCCCAGGCTCCCAAGACAATTGAGAGAGAAACATGCACTTCTAGAATGATGTTAAACAGATGTCTAGAATGAGGGGACTTTGCCCATTTATCTCACCCAACTAGAAAAGGAAGCCAGATGACTACTCAAATGTAGGTGTCTGTGTGGAACCCAGCTCCAGCTATCACTGTATAATTTATGTAGAGACCTGGGTACTTAGAAATGTAGTCTACAAAGCCCAATACTTACAGGAAAGAAGGATAAAGCAAGAGGAAATGCTGAAGATAAAATCCCAGCCATCGTTGGTTATCTATGCCCTTATCCCAGATGACTACATCACTTTTTTTCCTCACAAAATTGTTCCTGGTGCATCCCACACCTGTTTTTTCTACAGTACCTCAGTGTTTGAAGCATTTGAGACATATCCACTTATGCAGCAGATGTAGGTTCAGTTTCTTTCTCAGCCTGAGGGAATTTTAACCTTTGTCTTTTAGACGAATGCAGCAGCCAACTGGCAGCAAATAACTAATGTAAAAATGCTTAAATGTTGAACAGAGCAGTGACTGGAACCCAGATCTCTCCCATCCAAAATTAATGACTTGGTCATTAGAAAATAGAGTCACCACCACAGTTACACCTTTGCTTTTGTCCAACCAATACTTAAGTAGCCCCAAATGAGATTGAGGGGCCCTCAGCTTAGAATAACCAATCACTGAGTATTAAGCATGCCTAACTAGATGTTTTGAGGTGCAGGTTCAAGTTCCTTCAGGCAGAGGAAAGAACAAAACTTGGAATATCACCATTTAGATGCTCGTTTTAACCCACTAAGAGATACCACAACTTGGACCATGTTGTGTGTCAGAAAATATCTTCTGACAACACTTTATTCTGAAGAAGCGCTAACTGGGGAAATACCTAGGCAATGGCCACTGACAGGATGCAAAACAAATGCTGCCAGGTCTCAGGCGAACCATGAACGAGATTTGGGTTTGCTACATGTCTGCTGGTCAACTACACAGTTCTTGAGTCTGTTCTCTAGCTGTGATGCCTACATGTATAGCCTGACCAGATCCATTCATCTACACACTCCGCCTTGCAAAAACAGAATTAGTACATCCAAACTGCTGGCGGAGAGTAGTCCCTGACTTTTGCCAACTCCTGAACCATGCCCAGGGTTGATGTGGAAGAGTGATATTTGCTCTGGGGCAAAAGCTCTTGGGGATCATTGTAGCTTTCTAACAGAAGAGAGAAATGAGTCCCCATGTTCAGGCTGATGCCCTTGCATTCTTAATAGCTTGCAAGAGTGTTGATGAAGTCTGTGGAATCAGTATTTAAAGTGAATACTAGCTGAAGGCCTCTCCAAGGTGAAGCAGTAACAGAGGAAAACTTCTGTGGATGTAGATTTTGGATTTCAATGACTACAGAGGCAGGTAAATGGGGCTTGTGTCCCTGAAACAAATTTTATGATCTACAGCCTTAACTCTGCAAGACGGCTCAAGACAGCTCTTGGACTGCTACATATCTTAGAATATCGCAGGTTGGTTAAAATGACTTTCAGTATAAGTATGAGGATCAGTGTGGCCTTCAGTGACAGCAGTGAAATAGCCTATGACTTTCCAGCTAGTTTTGATCAAAGGGCATTCAAGTGACTCATGCCATCTAAGTTGACGCCTCAGGAATGTTGCGACTTACATATGCCTGGCTGAATTACAGTTGCCTCCTTGTTTTCCACTTGCAATGTGAGGCGCAGTCTGCCGCTTTCCCCCTCTCTGCTACCGCTCTCTGAAGGTGTCTGCTCTGGTCAGCGAAGGGTCAGAGGCAAACTTTTACCTAATTGCTTGCTTCTCCTCCAGTATCTCACGATAAGAAAAGTAAAAGCATTGTATTCTGCTAAGTCTATCTTTTCTGTACTCAGAAGGCATGCAAGGGAGAACAGGAGAAAAAGGCATCCCTACACCTCCACGGTTTAGGTTTTTGATGAGTAAGGGCTGTAACTGAACTTGGTAAAAAAATTTACCTTGAAATAGTTTCTCAACAAGAAGTCAGATTTTTAGATCTGGTGAAATTTTGCACACATTAAAGGTCTTTTTTTTTTTTTTTTTCATTCAAAACAAGGCAAAGTGACACCTATCCATCTCTGATGGGTAACTGAACTAAGGGGGTAAAAAAAACCCAGTTCACTGAAAAATGTAAACTTTCTGTAAAAAATGTCAGCGCAATCTTAATTTTTCTCATTTCTTGAAAATTTCCCTAGAAACAGCGTTTACTCCCAATCCATCTCCTTCTGTTTTTCCAAACTGTGACCTCTTATCCGCATGGGGAAAGAGAACAAAACCTATTTGTAGAAAATAAATTTACAGAAATTACGGCACTGTCTAGGACTTGTTATTCTCACCTTCAACTTACCTTCTCAAAATACCTCCTAAGAGGGAAGCATTGAGGCATTCTGGTGGCGAAAGGCGCCTCTTCACCTCTGCAATGGTCACTTTGTACTTTGAAGTGGAGCTGAGTAGAGATAAGCGACCAGGAACAGAGCAGAACAGGTCGGTGGGGTTAACAACGCAGGTGCCGCCTACAAAACAAAAGAAATGTGAGAGCAGGGGAAACCTCATATTCCATATTTTTACAAATTCAGTCATGAAGAATGATTCCGTTGTTTACTTGCGGTTGGTTTTGTTCTTGGTTTTGTTGTTGGTGATTTTATTTGTGTTTTTGGAGTAGTTTTTGGATTTTTGTTTTTTAAATATTGCATCACATTGCTGCTTTGAGAAAGACGAACGGATTGAAATTTCAGTCCAGGAAAAGTGAACTATTAGATCTTATAAGCTTTTCAGTCAAATTAGATCATTATGGCTACCTCATTTGATTTCATGCTCAGTAAAACTTACATATTGTCAGTCTTTCGAGTCTGGTATCTAGTATGATTAACAACGTAAGATTGAACTGGATTCAGGTATCACTCAGAATTTTAAAAAAAACAGTTGGTGAAAAATTTAGGACATCATTGGTTCTAATGAGAAATGTTCATTTTAACTATCTTAGCAGCGTTTAGGATAACAAAGATGCAACGGCACTGTACGTTTGCAGTGATTTGCAGCTAGAACAGCTTTCTACACCTTTGAACTCTTGTATACTCCTTCTAAAGTTAGGTCAAATCCTCAGCTGATGTTAATGATTGAAATCTATGGAGCTACATCAGTTTATCTCAGGTTAGTTCTGGAATTGTTTATTTCTTGAAAGTGGTAATTACTTGGCCTACGTCTAAAACTGCTGAATGATCACCAAATCTTTCAATGAAGACTGTGATCAATAACTCCTCAGGCAAAATTGAACTTTTAACTTAAAGTTAATATGTGAGAGAGCAAGAGAGAAAACTTTCTGTGTAACTGATCCAAGAGGATAGTACAAACTCCCAGGGGGAAAAAATGATCTTAAAGACTAGCACATATTTTATCACCAAGTGCAAAACACTTCTTTGACCTGCCTTCTCCAACCTAACTAAAATAAAAAATTCTGTGGAAGAAATAAATCTTACCACGGCATGCACAATTCTTCCCTGGGGGAAAGATAAGAAAAAAGAATGAGCTGCATATGACAGTGATATAAAATATCATATAATTCAATCCACTACTAGAAGGAGTCCAGATGGTTTCTGTGAGGACAATGATATAAAGACCTTCCTACAGCAGAATGAATCTGTGCTAATCATTCATTAAAAGAAAGACACTGTATTTTTGAAACTACAGTGGTAATTTCTTCTTTCCTGTGAACAGCCTAATCTTTTTGCACTGCAAGAGCTCACTTTATAATGCTTAAAATTTTTAGTTCGTAATCTAAATTCTGTAATGTGACTAGCATAGCATAGCATAGCATAGCATGGAATAGAGTAGAATAGAATAGAATAGAGTAGAGTAGAATAGAATAGAATAGAATAGAATAGAATAGAATAGAATAGAATAGAATTAAAAAAAAAAAAGAAAAAAAGCTCACTTTAGACAAGATCTTAACACCTTTACCTTATCTTCTTCTACATGTAATCCCTCTTAAAATTAAGGTGACTATGTATGTTTCGGTTTTAGCAGAGACAAAGGAACATAACTGAAGGATGAAACTTCATTAGTGGCAGACTATTGCTTGCTTACATAAGGCAAACAGAATTTCTTTCCAAATATTTCAGCTCTTGAAGGTATATTTAAACATTTGTGCTGACAGCAAAACCAGAAAAGAACATCTCTTGGTATAAATCCCAGATGGGTGAGATCCTGACACAGTACAGCAGGATATTTTATGACTTTTCTAATTATGCCACAGGATAGATATTAGTGTCCACTTCTCAGACAGAATATAGAGACAAATCATGCATCACCAAACGTATAGACACATCAAGGGCACTTGTGCGCGTTTTTGCACAACTCAAAGCTACAATTTGTGAGTTCATATGCTCAAATAAAGAAATCTGGTGCCACATGCCTGAAATATTTTTGGGTTTTTTGTTGGTTTGGTGTTTGGGTTTTTTTCCATATCTGAGGCAGGGCTGCACAGAAACCTGTAAATATTTTCAATCAACATTTTCAAGCTTCTGGTCTGTCAGGTACGTTTGTGAAGAGTGTTAACACTGAGTAGATTTGTTTGTTTGGCATCTCCTGCCACACAATACATATACACACGTGTATATATATACATGTCAAGAAAACAGTAGCAATGTGTACATATTTATTTACTTGAATAAGTCTGTACATTTTATAATGAGTGAGACTGTACTGAAAGCAGTGTTGTATTAAAGTTTATCTTCTTGCCAGGTTAAGCCAGTATGTGCACCATTTATGCCAGATAAATAATTGTTCCTTTAATCCAAAAACCTGTTACCCTGCAGCTGCTCCTACCCTAACCGGAATTTACTGGAACACTTCTCATTACTATTTAGTAGAAGGTTGTTTACAGCCTAAAACGTTTAAAAATATCGTGCCTATGCTGCATGATCATACATAAAGCAATTCCAGGTAAGGTAGGTATGGGTTAAAAGTAACAGAAAACAACAAGTCTAAGTCATTTGCTTTCCAGAAACATGGAGAACAAGTTGCAAATTACAAGAAGGTAAAATCTGTTGCATATAATTATTTCAGTATATTAATTATTCATTGACACAGCAACAGAGAGCGGGGTGGTGCTTTCTAGACAAAGCTATGTCACAAACTGTGTACAGTTTTGAAAGCACGGATCTTCTACCACAAACACCGCCTTGGACAGGGGATGGATGAAGTCCTGGCCTTTACACTAGGTGGTAAACGGAAGAAGGGCTGACAGTAAACAAAGGGAGAGCTGCTAGGAAGAGAAAGGAAAGGATAAGTGCAGCCACAGTGGAAAATGAAGGGTTGTTAGGTCTCTTGCTACACGCACACACTTTGGTGTATTCCTTCCCCCATATTTGGATCATACATTAGAGTGGAGAAATGATTTTGTGAAGAAATGCAGCTCCATGGGGAGAGGACGAGCTATGTTTTAAGTTGTGCAGCAGTGGCAACAAACAGCTTTTCTTTCCCATCAACTCAATGACAGTGTAGGTGCTGTTAGAAAAGTCAATCCTTGTTCAACTGTTGGGTTGGTCTTGTCATAAGAGGCTATTTGAGAGGTGGGATGCTAACAGACACCAGCTGAAGAAGCCAAAGATAATGCCCTCAAAAATAGAACAGAAATAATGCCTTGCATGAGTCTAGCAGTTCAACCTGGAGATCCCTGTTCCAGTTAGCAGCTGTTACTTGCTTTAGAAAACTTTACAGACTGGCTTCTGGTGCCAGGACACATAAGACACCATCAGCTAATCAGATGAAGAGCCCCACACATAGCCACGGCAAAGTGTTGTGCCCACCAGCATACATCAAGAAGGAAAACCTGTGGCCATTGCTCCCTGACTAGTTACCCGCACCGTTGGTCCTACTGCAAGGCTAGGAAAAAGAAAATGAGAGCAGGCAGAAGGTGAGAGAAGTGGTAGGATCATCCAGCAGATTGCCTCAGCAATTTCGTTTTCTGAGTACCAGGTGAAATGGGCCTGTGAATGTTAAAAAGACTCTTTTTAGGACACCTGTTTATTCCCACAGGGAAGTGATTCCGTGGTCTGGTGTGACATCATCTGTTGCCATAAGATACTGTGTTAGAGATGATTGTAAATGACGGTAGTTGTGCTCTTACAGCCACGGAGGTCTAAAGGCACAAGCAAGAAAAGATTTAAACAAAGCTGAAATTTCTTTTATATAGAAGCTGATAGATTTGGGGAAAAAAGAGGGAAAGAAGGGAAGCTTTCAGACACACAAACCCTTCTTCAGGGCTTCTCTTTTATCCAACTCTATTCAATTACGTCTTTCTTCATGACAGACTTTTACCCTCTGATCTGTCATCTTTGTGTTGATTTCAACAAATATGATTGTTTGAAAGGAAAAAGACGGGAGAGGCAGAGATCTACTTCGTGCAGCAAACCACATTTGGGTGAAAGACCTGGGGCCCGATACCGTCATATACTGAATTGCCTCAGCTACCGAATCACCTCAGGAGATTATTGTCAAGTGGTCTGAAGGACAGAAATAACAAAAGCCTATGTTCATTTTTGCTAGCTTAATTTTGGGACTCAATCCTTTTCCCTCTAGTTGACTAGTTGATACTCAACACAACATACTTCTTTGTGTGAACTGCACTTTTGCTTTGTTTCCCAAGCCTAGGATGAACAAAAGTTAAGCTATGTGATACTGCAAAACGTAGTCACAGCAAACATTGGGAGAGTATTTTCCCTTCCTTATTCTTGTCTCCCCATCAAATAGCACAAGTCAGTAGAAAATGCCAACACAAGCTGATGACGGTTTGTGTAGATGACAGCAAGGACAACAACAGAGCCATACTCTAACCCAACAGTCTTGTCAACACAATGAAAATCCCGATAACGCATGATGCAAAAAGAGCTTGGTCTGTTTTGATTATAGGTTTCCCTTTGTATAGATGAAGAGGACAATAGGGTGGCTGGAGTGCGATGATTTATTCTGATTTAGTTATGCGCTTGGGCATCTGCTGAAATGTAAGGCTCCCCGACGCCCTCAGAGTTAAGTATTTGTGCGTTTTTTCATTGACAGAATCTGTATTCTCACCTGTGTTAAGCTTTTCATAAGCAATGTTATTGCTTTATTAGGAATGAGAGAGAGAAATATCTATTGATGCCACTGGATGATTTATTTGCACTTTAGATACAATTTTTTTTTAATGTGTGCCTATAATTTTGTATGTATACACACATCCTTACGCTCTGCAAGGTCATTTCTTACTTGTTAATCATAACAGCTGCAATATGATGGGTATTTTATATTCATTCAAGAAGACATAGTCCCTTTCTCCAAGCTATTCACCTATAAATATCATGCAGTTATGGAAGGAAACATCATAATATACTGATGACAACAGCACAGAAGTACTGTTTATTTTGTTTTTCAGGATATATGCATGTTTGTGCACTTGTGTACATTATTAAGTATAAGCGCACGTGAGTGCCTACAGATTAATCTTATATAAAATATTAATAATATGCTATGCTTT